CCACGTTCCGAGTCACGCCTACCCGGGCCCTTGAGGAGGGGCCCACCTCTGGTGGCCTTCCGCTTGCCGCCAAAGGACCGCCCCCGCCCCCTCGCTGGCCTTCCGACATGTGTTGTCCATCTGGCCCCTCGGCACGACGCTACAATTGCTTACACCATACAAAATAATACAAAAACTAATACAAGATCTGTGCCATTCTGTAGCACCACTAGTTTTTTAATTAACCCAAACCGAGTTTATTTGGGTTTTGTTGGGGTTAATTGTTTTAGTAGAGGATAATTAATATCACTAAAATTTTTAGCAATTTCAGTTTTAATATTAATATTTAGAGATATTTATTTTAATTTAATTGTGTTAATTTATATAAATCCAAAACTAACATATTGTAAGGGATAACAAATTGTAAGGGATGCAGGATTTTGTGTTAGTATAGTTAATCTTTTGATTTTATGTTATTTTCCCCAAACATTTTTTTAAAATAATTTATATATTCACATATTGTAAATAGTCTGTGAAAATATTTCTCATCTTTTATTTCTATATGTTTTTCTTTAACTTTACAAACACAGAAGTAGACAACATTATAGATTGGTGAACATTGTGACCATAAGCTGTAATAGGTAACCACGAATGAATGTTGCACATATATAATGTATATTGTGTACATCAGTGTATGTACCAGTGTAATACTTAGCCAGATGTGAAGTAATCTGTAAAAAATAGTTTGTTGTTAGTATAATATCATTATATTCATGCCGGCATTAGCAAACAATATAATAATAGCTATTCAGTATGTAAGGTCTTGTGAATAAGGTATTAACTTGGGGGCAACTTCCAAACCCAACCTCGAGGGCCTCTGACTAGAGGGGATAGACGCCGCCTGACGAGCAAATAAATGTGATTTAGGAAAATCTCCATTCTGAATTGAATTTAAGAAAATGGCAAATGTTTCATGTTGAAGTCTGAGGATTTGGTTAATCAACAAATTGTAAAAAGACAAATGAATTTGCATTACAAGTTATTTGCCAATAGTACTTATTTGAGGCAGTTTTCACATCTCAGAAAATTGAAGAGAATACCAAAAAATGTTGCTTGTGTCTTCAAAAAAGAAAAGAGCGGGTTTTCAATGTACACAGACAAGTAAACTGAGTAAGTGAGATCTGAAATAAAATTCCAAATATTTTTAAAATGAAAGTAGTTAGAATTGCTTTATAAAATAAACCATTAAACTAGTGTGTTCCGTTTTGTTATTCACATTCTGCCTTGCAGGAAGGCATGAGTCTGATAAGAGGCCAAAACTAGACGTGTAATCATCCAACAAAAACAGGACAAGCAATGAAAATGGAGATGTTGGTGAATGGTGAAAAATACTATTTTCAGATACCTATTTTTAAAAAGAGATTTACGTTGTGTTGTCAATGAGTTTTAGATCCAATTGATAGGTTTGACAATGACTGTTATTTAATCCTTTGATTAAAATCTCTCTAAGAGTTTAATATATCACTTTTTATTTCGTTTGTCATTTGATGAGCAAAGGATTCACCATTGTAGAAGATATTGTCAAAATATGCACGAGAGAAAACCTGTTTGCTTCAGTGTTAAGATTTGAATGTGGCATCCAATTACTTTCAATTGATTCATATGAAAGTCATAAAACTTTGAATTCAAGACTAAAGTCCTGGAACTTAATGCTGATATTGAGCTACATGTGCTTTAATTAGTAAAAAATCCTAGTCACCAAAGAAATTATTTTGATAATTCTTTCATGTCTTTCAAACTTTGTCATTGTTGAAGGGGTAGGACTGGGCGAAGAGCCGCAAAGGAATTGCAGAGGGCCAATTTCCAGAATCCAAAATATTGAAAAAGGGAGATAGGTGTGTATGATTATCAGTTTGTTAAGAACCATAAATACATTCAGGTGGAGTGACTAGAAGTTCTTAATTCAGAATGTAATTTTTTCTTACAATCATCATGTAACCTAATGGAGAACATGCTTAAAAATTAGAAGGGAATTGTATGTAGATGCCATGTAGAATGGAATTGAAGTAGCATATTTGTGTAAAATATTGTAGATTTCAGTAATATTGAATAACTATAAATAGATTTTTGATGGATTTGAATTATTAACCTAAATGAAAATTGTATACAAATGAACATCAGAAAAAAAGAAATACCATAGAGAAAAATCCGTACTATTTAATAACTGGAATTCATTGATAAATCAGCCCTTGGAATGTGCTGTGATTGGGGTGTTTCAGGATGAGACACAAGGCTCTTGACTATAATTGCGTTTCAAATTGTAGAGAAAATACAAACAAAAACTTGACATTTGTAAAATGTTGGTATGAAGCAAAAATGAGGGAGACCCTCTATGAAACACCTTTTCAAAAAAAGAAGAAGAAAAAAAGAAATGAAAAGCTATTTGAACAAACATGAAGCAATTTTTATTTTCATTGGGGCAGATATTCTTCAGTAAAACTTCTTAAACGTTGTGAATTTGAAGTTACAATCTAGAAAGAAGATGGAAATACACATGGAAAATGTTTGAAGGACTGCAAAGTAGATTTAAAACTTTGACATGGAAGTGGCAATGTTTGAAAATTGATGTAAAGTAGCAAATCAATGCTGCTTGATATTGGTGTGCCATTTCAACCGCTACACCATTGTGGTTATTCACCAATATCATTAAAATGCACACAGGTGAATTTGAAAATTGTTCCAGATTATGCCTGGACTTGGAGAGAGGAATTTTTGAAATATTCTCCATTTAAAGAAAAGGATAGTAGAAGATGCAGCAGGTGAATGAATCTAGTTGAAAGTTAACGTTGTTTTTCTTTTCTTTTCGTAAGGGGATATGTTACATCAGTTTTTTAGAATTAAAACCATTATTCAACTGAAGATATGATTTAAAGCTTAGAGCTTAACAAATTTTGAAACATTGAATGGAAACTTGCTACAGAAAAATATTTTAATTGCTTTATTAGTTTTTCAAGCCTTTGCTCAGTTTCACAGTCAAGAGACTATTGTTGCATCTTGAAACAAGTGCTTTTTTGCTGTAGTTTCTCCTACAATCCTATTAATAGTTTACATATTTTACAATCACAATTACAGGCTATTAAATTTAGGAATTGAATGTTTCTTTGGCAAATAAGACAAGTGTTTACTTCTGATTTGCGTTGCATTGCTTTTGTTTTAAAGAAAATTATTCTACTTTAATTCTCAAGCCACGCTATATCAAAATTGGTATTTTCTTGTACTGAACTCTCATACTACAGTCAAAATATGGTTTTGAAAACTCTTAGATCACAAAAACAACATTTGAATTAAAATTGTGTAAATGCAATTATTAAAAAATGTTTGAGACTTTTATATTTTTAATAGTTACAAAAATGTACCTGTTCTTTGAAAAGTGGTGTCATGTGACTTTTGAAAATATAATTAATGCCTATCTTAAATAATTAGTCTTCTTTCACACTGACAGAATTGATTAGTTTTGAAAAGCAGTGCAGTGCAAAACCTTTTGTTAACTAGACAAATTTTAAATTTAAAGATGTCAGTGATGTAGCATTTCCTGGAAATTTTAAAAGGAAAGAATAACTTCCAATGCTTTTGAGAAAACTAAATGACTAAAATTCATTAGCATCAGTAGCTCTCTTCACGAAATATGCTTATGAAGGGATGATCTGTCAAAAGATTCACGTTAATCATTGTGCCGAACATTGCCATGTCCATCAGTAACTTCTGTATATTTGTTTCTTAATTTTTGGAGAATGTACAGTGATTTTTCTTCTTCTTTTTTTTTTATGCTCTTTTCCATTCATTGGCTGGGATTGAAACAGTACATCAGCCTTGAACGAGCTGAGATATCCACTGGTAGTCTTGGAAAGGTGTGACGTAGGTCAGCCCAAATTCAGCAAGAAGCCTAAACTACTTACCCAGCTGAAGCCTTCATCTGAACTCGTCTTGAATCATCAACACCAAAAAACAGTGAAGCAAAAGTAATACTGTACCAAGAATTCACTCCTTTACTTTTGTTGCTTCAGCTCAAAATGAAGTTGTGTTTATTGCACACTAAATACTCCCTCAGCATTCTCCAATACAAATGATTCTTGCCTTCAAAAATTATAGGTTGTCTAGTTGTGTAGACATATATGGAATGGAAGTATTTGGTCTTCCTTTTCTTGCTTTCTTAGGGAGTTGTGATTGGTTTTGGCTTACTTGCATTTCTGAGAATTCTTCACGGATGATGATTCTTTAATTTAATTTTTGTATTTATGTTCTTCATATTTCCATTGCTAGGTAAATAGTTATACAAGGAAATAGGAAAAATTAATATTTAAAAGGAAAATGAAAATTACGAAGGTACGACTAATATCCTACTGTGATGATGATCTGGTTTCTCATAGATTTGAAGCATGGTGTAAAACTAAACAATGTTCTGGACATGAACGATGAATAGTAAAAGGTACTGAAGTGCGAATGGGATACTCATTTGCATGCCGATGTTTTGGGATACAGAGAGTGAATGCAGATTGGTGCAACTTTAAATGTACCTCATGAAAGCTGTATGGGAGTTGTTAACATCTTTTATTTTATTTGTTTTTTAATAAAAACTGTCTAGCTGGCCCCTAGGTAGAGGTGACACAATGTCGAGCATGGAACGGACAAAAATGAAAAGTATTAATGATGAATTATTTTTCATACATGTACTGTAGAAAGGGGTTTTTATGCATTTTGTGTTCAATTTATGTTACTTTGATTTCTTTTTTGAGTAAATTAGCGGGATGAGATAGGCAGTTGTATGTTCTCCTGTGGTCCTTTCTTTACATAAAAATTTCGAATGACAGACTTGGGCAAAAAGATATGCTTGATTTCTTTTCTCTCTTTTCTCTTCCCTGTTATACCATTCTCCTCTCCTATTCACCCTGTCGGTGCCATCCTCCGCTTGTCCGTCCTCATGCCTGCCGTCGCGCCGGTTGCCGACGCCCCGACGGTTCCAGGACACCGACAGCAGGGCCTTATGCCGGAGGGCAGAAGAAGGGCTTGCGGGAGCCCCTGCCCTGCTCCATTCGCTGCCTGAGCATGATGGGGGTGATCCCATCGCTGCAGTGCAGGCTGTGTCTGTGCCTGTACCATCCAGAATGTGTGGGCTTGGGCACACTCACTGATGTTATCCACAGCTATGTGTGCAAGGTGAGTGCTGGCGATGATTGTAAGTTTCAGTGCTAATGAGAGTGTCTTTCTCACTTCCAAGTGCGAGTTGTCTGAGCCAAGCTGCAGAGCAATAGTCATTTGCTTTGCAGTTGTTCTTGAGATAACCTGTGTCATATCAATGTAATGGAGACAGTGTTTAAAGTTTTGACCTTGGTATTTAAATGCATGGAATTATTGCGTGCTTCTTTTTTCTTTTCTGATTCTTTTGTACAATACGTGCTCAATAACAAGGATTTGGTGAAGTCATTAATTTCAGATAATGTGAGGTATTCCTTCATTTATGTTCTAAGTTACTTCAATTAGGGCCGGTTTCACCAACAGCCGAGTAAAGTTGAGAGTTGTTACCCGAGAGTAACCATTTTCTCCAAGATAGTAACTCGAGTAGAATATGAGCGTTTCACCATGCTTCTAGAGGGTTATTTTACTCTAGAGTACATACTCTCCGATTTACTCCGCAAATCAGCTGAACACAATATTTGAGAGCGAGAATGACGCTGGGAACCAATGCGGACCAACGTGAACCTTTGATTAATTCCTTATATTCTATCATTCATTTCAGTTTCGGAGGTTTTTGGCGTTATAATCTGGTGTGGTGTTATGGTGATTTGAGTTGGAATAGTTTATTTCCTAGTTTCTGTATCTTTATTTCTTAATAAATATTCATTCTTCTTCTTTGGAGACGAGTTACTATTTTGTTAGCAATGCAGAAAAATCAAATGTGCAGTTCGTTTACCGATGGCAATGCAAATAAATTTTCTATTACTCGAGAACAAAAATGTTTTATTTTTTCAAATGTTGCTGATCTCGCGTTTTTCTAAATTTAATTATTATTTGTTTAATTTTTTAAACTTCTATTCAACTTTGAATATTTATAATTAAAATGTTGGAAATGGATTCTGGAACTCAAGAAAACGTGCGCAAATGATCTCCCCCGTATGTCACATACACTTTTTACTAAATAAACAAATATTTCTAAGTACTTGTAGTTATTATTTTTCCTTTTGTTATTGTATACGGTACGTAATACCTTTATTTCGTATCCGCATGGGCGAAAAATAAATTTACAAGTTCCCTACAAGTATCTCTACAATGTATTTGATGAAACTGATTTTGGTCTAACATAACCTCATGACAAAATCTTGATCGTCGTAATTAAAACCAAACGATTCTCTCTCACCCTTTGTCTTCGCACAAGTGGATAATATTCCGAATCTTTGCTGGAATCGTCTTCAAATACTATCATTCGTAATCGTCGAGCCGTAACAACACTTCGGAGGTACATGCACGTTGAAAATTGAGTTACTCTTGAATTTACTCTCTTGTAAGCGATTTACATTCGAGTAGTGTTGGTGAAGCTCTCCATGAAGTTACTCTCGAGTAAACATGATTTACTCCAGAGTAAACTATTACTCTTTGTTTGGTAAAACCGGCCCTTAATTTTGCACATCATGCTTGGGTCATGAATGGTGACAGATTTACAAACATCCGCGCTCATGGGTGGGAGAAAAAAATAAGTTTTCAAATTTTGATAATTCTTTCAAATTATATATTTACATAAACAAAAAGTATGAGATTCTTATAAAGAAATATTGCAACTCAAGTGCAACAGGACAAGTTCATTCATGTTTGCCCAATGTTTTTATTTTAGTTATTCAATACCTAAAACAATATTTTAAAAAGATGATTTGGAAAGAAGATAATCTATGTTGTAGAAATGTTATGCTATATCAATCATCATCAATAAAACACATCCCGTCAAAGAATTTTGAAGTTTTGTTCAGATTTTGAGGTCTTGCCGTAAGTGCAACAGCTTGCTGGATAATTTTTATTTTATTATAAGCCACAGTTTCTTATTTGTGTAGGAGATTTTCTTCTTAAGAAAACAAAAAGTTGTCCATCATAAAGTAGTTCAGTGAAGATAAGTATTAAAAACTTACAACACAAAAGGTGACTAATGCATTAGTATCATTAAATAAATATTTTCGTTCTTTCTCTGTATGGTGTTAAATATTCATTCACAATAAATTCAGTAAATTATATTCACTCTTGAGAGTACATTGTATGAATTGACCAATGCTTATGTTATGGTATTAAGGTTCTAATTGTTTAAAACATCAAATGCATACATTCATACTTCCCACTTCATACTTTTCAATAGAGGATACAACTCCTTTATCATAATAAATTGTAATAAAATTTAAACAAAATTTTGGAAGTATGGGTTATACTGTAACATGCGTAAATTATACCACGGTCGTTCACTATATTGCCGTGATGAGTTTGGTAGAACGCTTCATCTTATTATTTCATGGACAAAATAACACCACATGCAGTACCGGACTAATATCTTATGGACCTCTTGATAATATTAAAATACTGACGAAACTACTCAAAGTCAATGTCTCGGATGAAACTGTATCTTTATCTGTTATGAAATTCTCTCAATTTTATGTTTCCTGCAGATGTTCTTTACCAATGCCTTGTTCAAAATAATTGATTTTGACTGCCATCATCCCGTTGTCCTAATCGTTCCTCGAAACGTTGCTCCACTATTGTATTTTATCAAAAATTCCCAACTTTTAAATTTGAATAGCTATGACCAAGTTTCTTTCAGTAAATGACTGTGTTCGAAATGTTCGTTTCTTTAAAATGTCAGCATGAAGTTTCTTTATGAAAAAATATAAACTGACAATATTACATTTTAATATTTCGTGTTAAATGCTTTGAATGTTCCCCACATAAAGTGCGGAAGTGTGTCATAAAAAAATGGCGCTCACTTTCGAATAATTTGGAATTTGTATTATACATCGCATACGCCGAAACAAAATGCATTTGAGCGGTTCTCGTTCCGCAAGCGCATCGTGAATTAATTTTGGTTGAACGGAAGTTGGTTGTGGGGTACGGTTCCTTTTGTTCGTTGTCATTGTTGGTGTTCGTTTCGGTAGGAAGGTTGCCTTTTATGTTTCGGGATTTGGCGACCCTGGTGTTGCAATATGGCAACTGACAGCTCTATTGTAAAGTTGGATATTTTGAGGTTATACGTACTCAGAACGTTTTGACATACGAGCGCTATTTGTGTTGTTTACAGTAACTTAAAAGATTCATCTTGGCCCCAAAATAGAACTAAATCGTTAACATTTTCGTGCGATTATTTTTTACAACTTTCGACGTGGATTAACTCATGAATAGTGCATGGATGAACTTAATTCACTTTTTGGCGATGAAGCTCCATCAAGGACCTCGATATCGATGGAATGGTGAATTCAGTTGTTCCGAAAACCATTGATGCTGTGCGTGAACTGATATTTCAAAATCATGTGACCTATCGTGAGATTGAGACAACCTTAGGCATTAGTGGAACCAGCATACATTCAATATTGCATGAACATTTGACTGTCAAAAAAATTTGTTCGCGTTGGATCCCACACAATTTGTCAATCGCTCAAAAAAAAGGCTCGTGTCGATTGGTCGAAAGAAATGCTCAAAAAATACGATCGCGGTGCTTCGAAACACGTCTATGACATCGTGGCAGGTGATTAATCGTGGATTTACGCGTTAGAGCCCGAAAGTAAACAGTAGTCGACTGTATGGGTGTTTCAAGATGAGCAAAATCCAACAAAAGTTGTTCGCGCACAAAGCACTTCCAAACAGATGGTCGCCTGTTTTTTTTTTCGGAAAAACTGGACATGTCGCAACCGTACGTCTAGAACAACGCTGAACAGTCTGAGTGGTACACAACGATTTGTTTGCCAGCTGTTTTCCAAGAAATCAGGAAAACCAACCGCCGAAGATGGATCACTCTTCACCACGACAATGCGAGCTCTCGCACATCGGCTCAAACAACTGCATTTTTGAGCATCCAAAACATCGATTTGATGAGTCATCCGACGTATAGTCCTAACTTGGCACCAAATGACTTCTTTTTGATTATTCAAAAAAACAACTGAGAGGTCAACGTTTTTCGACACCTGAAGAAGCGGTTGCTGCATTCAGAATGTGTTTTGGAGATACCTCAATCAGAGTGGCAAAAGTGCTTCGACAATTGGTGCAAACACATGCAAAAATGTATAGATCTTCATTGGAAATATTTTGAAAAACAATAAAGTGGTTTTCGATTATTAATATTTGGTTTTGTTCTCTAATCCTGAAATATAAAAGGCAACCCTCGTATTATGGTATTAAATACACTGAAATATAAATGTAAAAGTGCTATTTCTAAAATTTTGTTGGCTAGTAGAAGTGTAGGTCTGTATAACGTTATTCCCTCAAAATAAATTATCTTAAAAGTGAGGGAGGCGTGTAAAACAGCGTTAGCCCCGAAGCAAGAGGGGAGGACGCGAGAGCTCGCGAACGTAGCATATGGAATCCGCCGCGAACAACTTGGTGTCAAAATGCATTGGCTAAAAACAATCCAAACTTAAACGATACGTAATGCAGTAAAATTTACACGTAAAAAAATACCATTCACAATGACGACACAATTGACATGACACAATGACAATGATTTTAACTTTCACCTGAGACAATCAATTTTCAGAGTATTGAAGCTTCATCGTTTGTCGATTCATTTTTAGCTTGGTGAAAAGATATTTCCACCATGGTGTGTAGCTTTCTCTTCGATTTCCGTATCGATTTGTCTGTATATATAAATGCGATTAGCTGTTGTAAAAGTATTAGTACTCGCATTTCTTTTACGTTATAAAAACAGTTCGTAAACTAGTTCAGTACATAACGGTAATGAGATCACATAACCACAAATTACCTGCACATATTCCATGCTTCTTTCATGCTGCTCTCTGATTAGTCGTGGGCAAAATTCCGACGTAAACTTGATGCTTGTGAACTTTTAAGTCAAGGCATTGTGAATGGTCTCAATTAACTCATTTCGAGGTTCTGTGGTTACGTTACGTTTACGTTTAAGTTTGCCTTATGAATGAGGCCTCACTGAACTGAACGTTCACGTTCTTGAGAACACTCCTTCCTAGTGAACGAAATTTTTAGTCAAAAGAACACGTACATATGACATACGAGTACATGGCAATCTAACCTCAAATTCGATAATCGAGGCAGCGTGTCTGAGTTAAAACTACAATGCTACCCGGGGCGCTGATATCGAAACGGTGGTTTATGAAGATAACATACTTTTTCTGTGGGGGATTCAGTTGGGGTTGTATCCATTTTTGTATTATCCGCGAAATTTCTCTAGCTCCGGTTCTCTACCCTCAATGCACTAAGTTTCTCGAGAAACGAGCCTTATTGGCAAGCATAATATTCAAATTGCATTGACATGCGGTGACGGGTTTACTTTTATGAGAGTTGATAGTATTATTGAAACAAATTACCGACCGTGTTGCGTTACTCGCTAATTTCCCGCAAGAACTTGTGTATACAACGTAGAGTAATATGAGTCAGTGGCTAACACTCTTAATGCAAATCTAAAAATAATTAAATAAATTTAAAAATATATTAAGTTTAGATCTTAAAATTACTTTCTAGTAACTTCTGAAATTCAAAATCATCCCTATGTGTTTCTCTGCGTTATGCATGGTACGGCTTTATATCACGCATGGTTGAATTCCGAGGTCAACAACGAGGATGTCAGGTGTGGATCGTCCAAAGAATGAAAATATGTTGCCTTATATGCAACCTTATTAAAGGTTTTAGTTTTGGCTCTTGCAACTTGACAAGTTGGACACCCCTGCACTAGACCCATGCCTATTGCTAGTGCTGTAAATTGAAATGTTTCTTGACATACATGTTGGGGCCAGTCTCGTAAACACCCGAGCCGAACTGCTACTGTATATTCTCTGTTGCGTGTTTGTAGTTTTCTTTCTTTTTTTTTGGGGGGGGGGGTCTGCTTGAGAAGTAAAATGCTGAAAAAGTGTACGGCCATCGGACAGGTCATACACATTTGAACAAAATACGGTTTCAATTTTTAGGGTACCTATTAGTCTCTTAAAAGAGAAATACGTTTTCCGAAACTAAAATGTCCAACGACATATGTTTTGTGGAGGAGAATATTCCCAATTGATCAAAATCACACTTTCTCAAAAATATCTTGAGTAAGTTGAAAATAATATGAACTTATTATGGAAAGGACAGTCTCGTGCAGTAAATACTCTTTTTTTAGTAATACGAGCTATATTTTGCTAATCGTATTTATTATTTCTATTGGAGAAATCCCTTTTCCAGCCGAAGTAGAGAGCCGTTTCAAAAGACTAATATCGTTTGAAAGGCAATTGTACGGACTACAGAATTGAATGTCAAGTGTACGATTTTAGTTTTTTCGAAAGTTCTTAGTGATAGTAATATTTTTCACTTAACATTACATCAAAACAAGTGCGTACTGGAGGCTGTATTTTGTTAGCGATGCAGAAAAATCATACTTGCAATTCGTTTACCGATGCAAATAAGTTTTCTATAACTCGGAAACGAAAATGACTATTTCTTTTCAAATATTGCTAATCTCGCGATTTTTTTAAATTTATTTTTATTCATTTACTTTACCCATTTTTCAACAATTTGTAGTCAAATTGACGGGAATGGATTTTGGAACTCAAGAAAACGTGCGCAGATAATCTTCTCCCCCATACGTCACATACAGGTTTTTTTTTATTATTACTAAATAAATCTGAAGCTTCTCGAAGTACTTTGCTGTCGAATGGGAAACCTTGGTAAAATATATTTGTTCAAAGTGCTGCTCAAAAAGTGTTTAGGAGTGTGTTGAGGGATACCCAGAAGCAATAGATTTTTGCTAGTCGCGAATTTGAAATACATAGCATTCTGGAGAGAATTCTGCGCATGCACCGGCAACCAATGACGGGATTTCAAATTACGGTTTCCATCTATTCTCCCTGTCTTTTTCAACTACGACAAATGTTTCCATATCTTACACTTGACGTAGTTTTCGCCGCCGCCACTATCACGAATTCGACACTAATACACAATGAGCATGAAAATAACGAATACAATTTGCATAGTACCAATATAATACGACAGGAACTTAATGGTTCATTTTTATTCAAGTTCATTCAAATACGTCAACGTATACGCTAACGTATAAGTTTAGGATTTGGAGGTTGTGTGCATTTAGACATCATTGTCACGAAATATAGTTGTTTCCAGGGGGAGATAATTGCCATTTATAAACAATATAAATCTGTTTTACTAAAATTGCGGGGTTACACTACTAGGAGACCATACTTTTCTTTGGAGGTAAAGTCGTATTTTACATATTCCTGTTATACAATCAGATATCATGTACGTATTTCAATCTGCTAATCTTTATAAAAGCAAAAATAGTCAGAATATTCACAGATGTTCAATGATAGCTTTAAGGTAGCTGATTGAGGGTTTCAGTGCCTAATACTTCCTAAATTTACATATGTTTTCGGTTGTACTACTTGCAAAAACTAATTTTTCTGAAGATGTATTTCCTATTGACGGGACTGATGACGAACTAAGACATAGTACAACCCGTCTCGCAAAAACGCTCTAATGTCTCATTGCTTCACCATAACTTCACCAATGTGATATTGGTCTTATTTTCGGCGACGTGTCTTTCTAGACACGTTAAATGTTTAAATGCAATTCATTTTATAGGAATGGAAATTTGTAGTAATGTGTGTTTATATAAAATATATTCAATTTTGTGAAATAAAAAAAATTCGCGAAAACTCATTTGTTTAGATTTTTCTCAACGAAAGGGTGTCGTAAAGAGTGGCTAACAGTAGCTTCTCGTTCCTCTTAACTTCTGTGCTTACTGGAGATGCGACATAGACATGTCGATGTTTTTAACATCGATGTATTGAAGCCGATGTTTAGGGCTCGATGTTTTGTTGGAGAATGAACAATTTCCTTAGTCAAAATTGGGTAAAAGTTTAAATATGAAATAATAATTAATAGTACTTCTCAGTTTGTTTTCAAACCAAACGAACACTGTACTACTTCCAACGAGCATCTATTAATCTTATTTTTTCTTTATTGTATGTTAAATCTTATAAATAAATTAATACGGCCACTGTGAACATAAAATTTGTTACGCCCGAATGTAATGTTAGAGATAATTGATCCACCTTTAAAAACATGGTGGTTTTTAATTGATGCTATCGATCGATGTCACATCACTACACAAGCTAGTGTTGAAATGACCCGTCGGCACACTCTTATCTTCTGATTGAGGGGGATTTTTTCGGGGATGTTTAAGGTTGTTGCGGGGTGAAGTCCCATTCCCTAAAGAATTCCCCCACGAAAAGTTGTGGATGAGGAATTGAATTTACTGGCGTAATTCATTTTCATGATGTGTGGACTGAAACGGATAGCATTCAACAGGAGTATTGTGCACTAATGTGTAACATCCTCCACGATACTAACGGCCGTCACTGGCGTTTCCAGAAGTGCCAGCAGGAGATTAAGGATGGCAAGTCCAGCATGGTGTCGTCGACGTCGAAGCTGCTGGAGATCTCGAAGGTGGGGCCGAAGAGCTCGCCGGCAGCGGCGGCAACGGCAGCGCCGCCCCCGCCGCTTACGCCAATCAGCCGCTGGGCGCGGGCGGGTCCGTAGGCGTGGCAACGGGGGCGCGCGGGGGCGGCATTGAAGCAAGCCAAAGACGCGGATGCGGCGGCAGCATCGCCCCCGAAGCTGCAGGGCCTGCCGGCGACCCGGCGACGCCCCGCCGCCTGCTTCCGGCGCCCTCTGCCGGCCCCGCCCCCGCCGCCGGCCCCACCAAGCTGTATACGGTGCTCGCTACGTGAAGGTGGCGCGCGCCGGCCCAGCCGCCACCCACGTCGCCCCCGCCCGCCCCGCCGCCGCCCCCCTCACCCGCTCCGCCGCCCCCCCCCTCCGCCTCCCAAGACGCCCAGCATCGTGGGCGCGGTGACGACGTGGCTGCCGGCCTCGTCCACATCCAGCTGGGCGGCGGCGGCGCGGCGGGCGGCGGGGGGTGGCGTGCGCGGTGGCGTGGGCGGCGGCGGTGCGGCGGTCACCCGCCAGACGCAGCGGTGTCTGCGACGCGTCCTCCCCGCGGTCTCGGACCCCGCGGCCGGACCCGCCTCCCGCCGCCCGCCAACGTGCAGGCTATAGCGCACGTGGCTGGCAAGAAGTACATCGTGGTGCCAAAGCACAACGTGCTGTCGGTGTCGTCGGCTGCCGCTGCCGCCGCGCCCCTCGGCCAGGTGGCGGACTCGCGCCGGCGGCGGTAGCGGTGACGCCCAGCGGGCGGCGAGCGTTGGCGGGGGCGGCGGGGGTGCACGTCACCCGGTCTTCCCGCTGCCCTCCACCCGGTGCTGGTGCCCGGCGCCGAGCGCGACCCCGCGGCTATCCCGCTCGCGGCCAACGGCGCCGGGCGCGGCGGCGCGGCCACCGCCTACGTGCTGGGCTCGCCGTCGGGGGCGCAGAGCGGGCTGCTGTTGGTGCCCGTGGCGCCTCCCGCGTCCCACCACCATCACCACCACCCGGCGCCCCCCGCCGCGCTGGCGCCCGCCGCCCTCCCACACGCCGACCCGGTGCACGCGCAGCCGCAGTACGTACTGGTGAACGCGCACACCGGCGGTGTCGTCTTCAGCAACTTCGCCCGCGCCAGGTGAGCCCGCCCCAATGCGTGTAGTCGATGGCTGGGAGGTTGCCAGTAGGGTGGGAAAAAGAAATCCGCTGAGGGTTCAAAAATGAACGTTTGTAACCAAAGGGTTCTTTAACATTTCAGACTTCAGTTCATGTGTGATTTGTATGTCATTTTGATGTAATATGGATTTCTGCAGAGGATTGAAAATACTATTGTATACAATAAATTATTTTTAATTGATATTTTTAGGGACATGATTACACTGATTACATTGTGAATAATTTTAATGAATATTCTGCCCCTGCTCCTCACTTCAAGTTTTTCTGAGTTCTTTTCAACATTTTGTTTACATACTGTGCATAATATGCAGAGAAAATTCTTGGCTGCACTCCTGTAGCAGTTACTTTTATCCAATGAGTTGTTTACCTCTGAATGAGCCTTCTCCCTTTATATTTCTGTTTCCATTTCTTTCCACTCCTTTCCCAAGCACACAATCCCATCAACAGCGCAGATCCTAGCGCTGAAGTGGGCAGACAGTTTAGTCTTCAATATAGGAAGTTTCTCAGTATCTTTGAAATTCCACGTAACAAATTTTTTTCATGAATGCTGCACAAATCTGGTTTTTATGGGGACTTGCTTCTTATATACTTTGAAGGCTTTCGTGAAAATGCCATTTTTTCACAAACATTGACTGCACTAGTGTTTTAATGTTTAAGAAAAAGGTATTAAAAATCTTATAAAATTTGAAGAGGTTTCCAAAATTAATCTAGAAAACTACCTGGGTTTCTTTGTTATCCCACTTGTTTTAAATATTGTCAATTAAAAAAAAAATTTAATTGTATCCTAAATTCAGCATTAAACAAGACAGTATATATATAAACGGTCTTAAAGAAGAATGAATTGATGAGACTTTCGTTGCTGTGAATATGGATTCATCTAGAATAAGCATAACAGTACAATTTGCATAACACTGTGCAGTGTTGCTATTGTTCTCAGATAATTCATTTTAAACAGACAGCAGTTATGCACTTGAGTGTGCTTCCTTTTTCCTTTTTGACTCCATCCCTTTCATTGTTGTTTCATGAATAAAAGTATCATAAACTCAGTAAAAAAAAGTATTTGGACTTAGTAGTGCAGCATTGTTTTCAATTTCTACCGAAGGGTGGGAAGCAATAGCTAATATTACCTGGTAATGTCATTAAAAAAGATTATTTTAAGATAATGGTGTTGTTTGCCCACCTCTGCTCTAGTTTCTTGTTTGTATCAATTTGAATAATTTGTAACCTTATAATGATTTGAAAATTGCAGTGATCTGTGCTCTTGCATTGTATTAATTTATTTCTTTTGTTTTTGCAGATTCAAATCCTGTAGGTGTGGTGTGTGCTTGAGAAATGCCCTATTCTCTCCTACCCCCAAACAATCCAAATGATTTTTTTTATTCTTCTTTTGCATTAATAGGTTTCTCAACTATTCTTTGAACACAATACATGTGGGAAATGTTGAGGTTATGTATTGGGGATTAAGTTAATATGTTGACAGTCCGTTCCATGCAAAATAATTGTGCCATTGACTAGGCCAGTAAAATATAATGGTGAAGGTGGGAATGTGTCGCATGCTGCAGAAATTCTAAAAGTTGCATCACTGATGTAAATATTGTATTTGGTTTTTGCAGAGAGGATGGATATGTGGGAGTGCCAGTATCTGCCGAAAACAATTTCATGCAGTACTTCATGCAAAATGTTAGTGTAGGATACACAGCACTTCACCATGTTTTCCAATATCTGAAAGTGCACGAGTTACTTCGAGCAGGACGTGTCTGTCGCATGTGGCATGACTTGGCTGGACATCCCACTTTGGTGAGTATGTCACAACATACAAGTTGATTTTGATGCTTTAGAAGAGTGATGTGAAAAAATTAGGTTTTGTATTTTCATTGAATTACTTCAGATCAGAATTGAATCAGAAGAAAAAAATGATTTGCACTTTTAGATAATACACACTGTTACTGTAAATTCAACACCTAGCTTTGTCATCTATTCCCTATGATGTTTGAAACTATCCTTGTACGCAAATCCCATTTGGGAAATGGCGAATCTATGGGCCTCCTTGCCAGGCCTGAGGCGGGCAAGGAACTGAGGGAATATTTGACATTTTGTTACTTCATTATACATTATATGATAAACTTAGGGTCCTTCTTACGTTCTCATATATGGAGTAATACGTAGTATAGAGAAAGTTATGAAACACTTTTGCATTTGTAAGTGGAAGTTCTTCAAATGACTTCTAATGAAGTTTTTTGAAAACTTAAACGATTTCTGTGAAAAAGATCATCAAATTTCTCTTTTGTAGTAATTAAGCACACAAGTTCTTAAAAACTGCTCTAAGGTTTTCAACGAAAATTTCCTTATAGAACGAGATTTTACTCTTCTGTATTATACCAAAGTAATATTTTGGTTCTATTTGTAGTAAACCGAAAAATTGAGACAATCTTTTAAAAAAGTACTTTGGGCGGTGATATATGGCAGTTGGCAAGAGTATATGGCAAGCTCTAGCACAGACCAAAGAAATTAGAAAAATTGTAAAAGAAATGTCTGCCATTCTTTAGCACCACTAGTTTTTTCTTTTTCATTTCTGAAAATCTGGAAGATTATATTCATTTTAAAATACAGTGAAATGTCATTATAATTGATTCCGAGATATCAATTTTCATTTTTATGAAATTATTTTGAAGATTTCCTCCAAGTTACGAAGAGGTTATATGTAAAATTTCATTTTAACAAAATTTGAACTTAATAGATACATAATAATTAAAATTTAATAGATTTTTTTTTCCCCTCCATATAATGTTACTACAATGATTCTACCATTGTAGCCATTTTACACTTTGAAAAAAGACATATAATAAAATTTATGACTATGGTTTATGGCTACTAGTTTCTTATATATTGAACGTAAGGCTCTACATGCCAACGTTAAGGAGGCCTAATGCAGAACAAAAATTAAGCGATACTGTCAGCTGTGTTGATGATAAGAACGCAAGCTGACCAAGCATTGTTTCGCAAAAGAAGCTAGAATACACTAAGTTAGATAAATCAACAAGAAAAAATCACAGTAAAGTGTTTTTGTTTTCATTAATCAATGAAATTTCTTCACCAAGTTCAGAGAACACATTTTCTTGTCTTACACAGAATATTTTATGACTAATTTCTAACTGCTTATTAAAAAGGTAAAAATTTTTTGGTTTTCGTTTAAATAAATATTTACTGGAACATAGCTTGTGTGATGGGGTATGATGAACAGGAAGTATCTTTCAGTTACAAATTTTCATATAAGCGTAACAACTTGATTATAATTCATTAAAATTAAGATGGAAAATTGAACAGTAGTAAAATAAGGCAAATTCGCCTTTTAATATAACACTTCAAGACAAAATTGAAAAAAGTTATGGGAATGGAAATAAATAATTATTTCATATATTACAATAATAAATATTATAAAAATATTATTAATATTAATAATAATGTCAGTAAGATTTTTCTTTTGAAAAGGAAAATTCTTTTGATTATTTACGTGTGCACAAAGAATAGTTTCAATACATTAGGTGAAAGTGTATCTCATTTTTATATCCCTCTCTCTCCTCTCTCTCTCTCTCTCCTCTCCCTCTCTCTCTCCTCTCCCTCTCTCTCTCCTCTCCCTCTCTCTCTCCTCTCCCTCTCTCNNNCTCTCTCCTCTCTCTCTCCTCTCCCTCTCTCTCTCCTCTCTCTCTCCTCTCCCTCTCTCTCTCCTCTTTTTTTTCTTTCTCTCCTCTTTCTTTTCTGAAATCAATATCCACACACTATCTTCTACAATAAAGATTATATAATTTAGATTCTAGGATAATGACATCTCATCCATGATTGTCCGGGACCATTTTAAGGCCAATTCTATGGGCAAAAGCTCATAGTAACTTGTGGTGAACTCTTTCAATGATTGATATACTCAATTTTGTATATGGGTTCCAAACTGACAATGCATATTCAAGAATTGGTCTAACAAGTGTTCAATAAAGAACCGTAAGGGTCACAGCAGGTTAATACTATATAGAGTTCCACAATACCATACTCCATGTTTTCAGTTTCTTACAAATAATGCCCTGAATATAATCCGCAAAAGTCAGCTTTCCATCAAATGTGACACCCAGGTCGCTTACACAATCAACTTCGCTCAAAGTTTCATCTTCAATTTTATAATTTTTTATTATTTTATTCCTTTTTCTAGTAAATAATATAACTAAGCATTTCCCCACATTTAGACTCATATCATTTTCCCTGCACCATGTCTGCAAATTGCAAAGATCTCACAGAGCAAAGCATCATCATCAATGTTAACAATCTTATTCAATTTTGCGTCATCTGCATGAAGCAGACATCTACTATTGGACATATGCCCTGATAGGTCATTTATAAAAAGATTGAACAGTAGGCACCCCAGATGTGAACCTTGCAGAACTCCACTAGCTACATCAAATATACATGATGAATGGCCTTTAATACAAACAAATTGCTTTCTGTCCATCAGGTAACTACCCATCCAATTCTGCAAAGCTCATCCTATTCCAAGCTCCCTTCATTTTGCAATTAAGATAACATGGTTAATCAAAGGCCTTCGAAAAATCTGTATAAATCACATCTAGTTGTGCTTCTGGACATGTCATCGTTTTCTGCAAAAGGTCCAAATGTGTAACAGTAGATCTATTAGGCATAAAACCGTGTTATGCAGGTGATATAGAAGTCTTTAAATCTGAAAATAAGTAACCAGATATACTTTTTTCAAAAGTATTAGAAATGGCACTTACAAGATTGAGCTAATGTCACCCTTCTTGAAAATAGGGTTTTACCATGTTTCCGGAAATTTGGGCAAATGACACATCTCAAGAATCTGTTAAAAAAGAAGCCAAAGTGGATATGATATAGTGTGAACAGTTTTTCACAAAGTGTTTGGGAATGCCATCTGGACCAGCACTCTTGTTTGCATCAAGATTTACAATTTTATTGAAATTATTTGGATATAAAATGTGTCTCAGGTGTGAATGAGGAGATAGTATACTTATTTGCAGAGCCTGGTGAAACGTTGGAAGTAACAATAGATGAGTTAACATCACGAAAAAAGTTAAATGAAGACTCCTCCAATCCGCAACTGGTACTCAAGCATTTGTGCATATTAAATGAGTAATCATATTTTCCAGATAACGTCTTAGTATATTTCCAAAAAAACTTTCATATTCCTGTAAAGAAATCGAAGTTCCATTAATTGCTCATATAGCTTGAGTAAGCAACTCTATTGAAGGAATTTACTATTTGCTCTCAATCTCGAAAAAGTAGAATAGGCAATTGGTCATTTCATTAGTATTTATTGTTTATGTGATTTTTGCTTCTCGTAAATTCAAGCCAAAAGCCACCTAGAATACCTTTCAGGAAACATAGTGTGAGCAACACAATGGCTAGTAAATACGTATCAATAATTTCATGTAAGACGTAAAACTGATCAACATTGACATTAATATTATCATCACTCAAAAAGACATCCCAATCAACAGAGTTCAGTGCACTGATAATCAAAGCATAGTCACCTTCATAAAAATCACAAAAAGGATCTGTCTTCGAGTACACCTCCATCCCTCACATTACAGCTTGCAATATGTAGAAGAATCCACCTAAGAATGAACCAAAATGACTGCTAAACAAGTGAACACCACATGAAATTCAGAGAAGCATCCCTCGACCGCGATAGCTGATCAGCCACACATCTTCGTGAAGTGTTCATGTTTGTACATGACTCTGGTTAAGACATCACGGCCTCTTATGGTTCTCTACCATGTAATTATATTAAAAAATAAATTAATAAAACACAAACAACAATACGTTCTCAATCACAGATCGCCACTGTACCGCACAGGTGCAGGTAACTTGTGCGCCATTTGGCGTCTGGCATTCAAACTTGGGTTTTCAAATAAACATAATACTTATCACGCAAAAAGTAAATTCAGTGTAATGTTTATAAAGAAATTTACAGAAGAGCACTGTAGCAGTGCACTTTCTAAATTTAATTATTTCTCGTGGCAAACTATGTTTTCACCGTATGAGGACATCACGAAAGGAAGAGTTAAAGCCATTTACAAGTTAGCTAACTGCAAACAAACGAATGAAACAAGGAGATTCAAATGAGTTGAAGGACACAACAACCACAGAACCTTGAGTTATGTTGCAATCACTAGCTGTCAATACTGTCAATTCTTATAAAAATCGCTCAATAGCATTTCTGTCACATCTATACACAGTATATTCTCAATGTTCACTATCAGCGAAACCACTGTGTAACCAGATTTCAACCAAAATAATAACCTCATATACCATACCAGCAGCATTAAAAGAATTAATCAACTCTCATGTGTCTTTTTAGCCCTCTTAAAGTGCTGGAAATATGCAGACAATGCAGGCCAACTAGGAATAATAGCATTTACATCAGGTGTTATCGAGTACTACCATCACTTGTTTAGCAACTTCGCTCAGTAATCATGAGATTGCTCGTAATGCAGCAAATTCAAATGTTATTTTCACCATCTGCAATCTTGCTATTCAGTTCGTCCCTCAATTTGTGCAGATTAGTTTGTTGCGAAGGGGTTCAGTTATTTCTCATTCTACCTATTCAATCTTAATGGTTTAGGAGAACAGTTTTCGCATCGGAGGGATTAAAAAAATAAATGTTTGTCAGTCTCGCACTAGCAGTACGAGGTTTACCCAATCAGCAGCTGCAATTGCTTAGGGCATGCCCTCAACTTTAGATAGCAAATTATTGACAGCCACAAGATCAGAAACATTTTAGGAGGCTTCCACAATTTTAAAGACAATAACGTGAAAAGAGCATGAATATCTCTTTCATTTCACCAATAAGTGTCTCATCAGCTACTTTATGTTCTACGGCAGAATTAGCAATCCTATGCTCAATGGATTTCAAATGAACATCAAAATCATCCAAGCGGTGCTCATGTTCAACCTGACAAAGCTGGAATTCATCCATCCGACTCGTCAAAGATCCCAAAGAGAAGGATAAATGTTCACGTTCAGTTTTCAGTTTTATCAGTTCTTTTTTACAAGCAGTTCCTTGAGGTCAAACTTAGTAATAGTTTGACAGCATTTAACAAAAGCCTCGTTCTGAAGTGTCTTCAGGCGAGTAACGCTACTTGGGTGATTAGGGCGCTTGCACAGTTTACTTTTGTCACAGCCACTGCCCACAGCGATAACCCTGGTGCAGCCCATATACCTGATAGCATCAATGTCGCCTACAGATCTGTCATCAGAAGTGGACAGGTGTGCTCTAGGTGAAGACATGTACACAGTCATGGGGAATCAATTAAGCATCAGCTCCATGTGGTTATACCATTTGGAGTTTAGATCATGTCAAAGTAGTCACAGTTTCTTGATTTATCTGAAAACTTGCTACATTTATTCACACTTGCAGAATTCCATTCCCTATCATCAGAATTGCATCCAAAACCAGACCTTGAACACGAATTACAACTCAAAACCAAACAAAACGTGTAGAGCACTATGCCAACTCGTGCACTTCCCTGCACATTATTATTCAGTGTTTTTGCATGCCATCGCATTGCATTGTATCACGGATTCACAATTTCCCACTTTGTACATTATTTCGAATTTAGCTATCAATTGTGCGTGTTGTCACAGTTCATCAAACATACAATTACTAATATTTTCAGCTGTTGGTAACATTCAGTATTTTTAGCAGTTGCTAAAATCTACCATCTGTAACGATATATACCTTTAACATGGTTACTAATAATATGGTCAAGTGATTCGGATCTGTGAGGCAAGGGCTTGGGGCATTGCAAGTTTGTGCATTTGACACGAGTGCAAGGCTTGATTGTTTTAACCCTCTGTTTCTCAAGTACTTGCATGGTCTCGGTTTGGGGTCTGTTTTTATCCCAGATGTTTTACATCATAATTTACAAGTTTTTGATGCATGAATGTTATTTGGAATTATTAATTGAGGAAACAATAGTATTTATTTCCTTTATTTACTATATTGTACTAAAAAACAAAGAATGTTATATTCAGGGGGGGGAATTCTACCTTATCCTCATTATTATACATTTCTCATTACCCTCGTATCTTCATTACTATATAAATCATACCTGCCTGAGAATGTTTGAAATAGGGCTACCAACGCATAATAGACTAATACACCAAGTTATCACTCAGAAACAGCAACATACTACAAAATAGGAAAGGAAATGTTTTTAAAATTTTTCTGGTAATTTAATGTCGAATGTGGCATTTTTTTACTCCAACTGCATAAAAAAATTTATTTTCAACAAAGAAACAATCAAACAACACTGAAAAGATAACAATGTATGTAAAACTGGATGCAAATAACATATCTAATAAAGTGAATAATTTTCTGAATGTTACAAAACTTGGTGTGGGAGGATTCCAGATCGTGTATATTTTTTCCATTTTCTAATCCTTCCATAATCTCTTGGCCTGGCTTGCAACTGTGTGTAAGGTGTGTGTGAAGTTGAGGATCTGACACTCTACACTCATAACAAGTGTATAAGTGTTCTATTACACAGAGATCATGCCTAGGCATACCATGGGTAAATATGTAAAGACACAAGACCAACACAGGCTTATACAATTAAAGACAGTGAAGATGCTCGTAATTGGCTCCCCAGAGGAGCAGCACAAGAGGTTCTGGTAGGACGTTTAGGTGCCAATAGAGTAAATTTAGTGATGTTTTTATGCATCAAGAATTTTTTTAGGAACTTTACTAAGAAAAAAACAATCTGAAAGAAAAATTTAAGTAAATTAGTTCACAACTTCTGTGTACAAGGAAAAGGACATTTAATATTCTGTAGTGTGATAAATTGACTTGTATTTCATCCTATAATTTACTTAGTACTATTTCTACTTTTCACAAAATATTTAGTCCAGTCCTATGGACTAAATATTATTTGAAACCAATTATTTGCTTTTGAGAACAACAGAAAATATCTTTCTTTCATTAATGCTAGTTTAAAATAGTTTTTAATCTACCTATTCTATTTGGTCCTTCTGTAATAATCCTTGTAAATATTTGTAAGTTATAAGTGGTTTCCATTTCAGTGGAAAACTGTACGAATGAAGAATTCCCAAGTATTAGATTGGGATGGTTGTGCTGCAGCACTTAGCAAACAGGGCACCCAACATTTAGATCTGCGCAAAATGCTCCTTGACCCATCAAGGACTCAAGAGGTTTGGAATCAGTTCTGCACTGCAATTGGGCAAATATCTTCCCTTCATCATTTGGACCTGTGCCGATGTCCAAGCTCTGTGGTAGAACGTGTGGCGGCCCAGTGTCCCCAGCTGACCAATCTCACTGCACTTTTCTTGAGGTACGTGTTGTTTCAGTACTCCATCCAGAAGGGGTCTGATCAGGAATAATGGACAGCATGGGTTACCCTATTCACTCATGAAATTGCAAAATGTGCTAACCCACATAATTTATGAAATTGAGATATTGACACTATTAGATTAAATTGTAGAATAGATAATAGATTAGAATGGTTGTCTAATAATACACCTTCTTACAAAATGTATTTTTTTTAAATAATAATATTTTCTTACTTAATTTTATGAAAAAGTGTATACCAATTATTTGTAATATTCAGGCAAAATATTGTATGCCACATAATTTAAAAACAAAAATTATAAAATTCTACTCATTCTAATGATAAAGTATGAACATAACAAAAAAAAAGTCTAATTCAAAGCCTAACTTGAAACTGTAAAAGTTTATCCAGTTTTTTAGCATACTTAAAATTTAGTTCTTAATATTTATGGCATTGTGCAGTTTCATGAGCGAGTATTCTAGTGATTACTGTTCTTTCTAATGACATTGTGATAAAAAGTCCTTTGCCCCCTGTTGCAACCTGCTTTGTGGAGGAGACCCATGACATGACTAGGTGAACAAGGAGAGGGTTAATAATTGAATTGGTTTGAAGGGCCAAGGTTTCATTTTATACAATCAAAAAAGGATTATGGTTGTATGAAATAAAACAAAAAATTGTAATATTTTCAAATACTGATAAAAGGTGATCCTTCTTTTCATTAGTTTAAAATTTAATATTTTGAAAACCTTCATTTGCTTAATGTTATAGGTGATGATTAAGTCTTTTTGTCCACTTTTTCAATGCTCAGGCTCGTAAATTGCTAATAGATTGTGCTGCATTGCCAAGATTCTGATATGAACACTTGCTTTCGTTGCAAGATGATCCCATCAATTGTGATTTCAGTTGCCCCGTCAACATGTAGAGCCAACATGGTAGAAAAATTGTCACTCCAAGGCATAAACAAGTGAACTCACAAGTGCACGTTGTCTTGGTAGTTCTAAAGAATAATTGGGAGGAGACACTTAAAACTTTTTTTCCAATTTTAAGGAATCCAAGATATTATTTGGGCCGGTTCAAATAACAAAACTGACCCTGAACCAATTATTAAATTTGAGAGGAAAGTGGAAATTGTTAGGTCAGATTGTAGCCCCTTTGAATATAAATATGTAATCGTATTATTAGTTTTTATTAAACCTTAATAACTTTGGAGCATTTTTATAATTGTTTGGGATTGATTATAAGAAATGTTAGAGTGAACATAGTTATTAAATCTACTTTCTCAAGTAATTAAAATTACTTTTAAAAAAAAACTCTTCTTCATAGAAATGCTTCAGTAAATTCATTTCTCCTCACTCAGCATTGTTGGATCACAATGCTTACTATTCAACTATTTTTAACTGCATTTAAAATGCTGAAAGGTCTTTATTGTGTAAGGGTTGCACGTGCAATTGTTACATTCTCTCAAGTTTGAAGTAAGTATTTTATTGCTACAAAAACCAACAAATGATGAGATTTTAACGGAAATGTAGTTGTGCATGTGTGGTCTTTTTGTCAATGTGCTTTTATAGTTCCACTAAGTGTCTTATTAAAACCTATTTTATAAAATTAGACTTGTAACAGTCCTGTACCACTTGGCTACAGAGAGAGGGTGTCATCATATAAAACTTTCTTAACCCAGTGTGATAGTTTCATCTTTCTGTTCATATTTAACAGATGTGTATAAAACAATCCACAATGTTTATTTCTTTAAAATACAAATTAGAAAACTTGCAAAGAATTATCTAAAATTTACATTTATAAAATTCAAACATGTGCTATTTATAAAAGTAACTATTTTTTATGAAAAAGTTTGTAAGCATTTTTATTTCCGTGCACAGAAACGCTTTGCAACTAACTGTTAATTAACGAAGCGACATTTGGGGCTGTTGCACCCTTCTATCGGCAATGAGATGGCTTTACATTGTTTGGTAGTTCAGGCAAAGGGTCCACTATTCTTTTACACAGAGACTGTTGTCAGGAAAAGGTATTACAGCCTCTGTTATCGAAAACCCACTCCCAAATATATTATTGCAATCATCATAGCCTTCTGTGTCTGGAACTAAATTCACTATTGCGTGTGCTACTACTATTGTAAAATCCAAGAAGTCAAGTTATTGTTGTCTTAAAGTTGTGTTACAATTTGTACTACATAACTATGTACTGGCTTTGAGGATTTTGGAGTAATCCTGCTTTAATCTAGCCAGTAATTGCCTTTCATCCTTTTGTCCAGAAGCTCAGCACCGTTCGATTCTGGGGTTCCCAGTCACTCAACCAGGAACATTCTATGTCTTTAATTGCTTAACTTCCATGACTTCATGGAGATGGTTAAGGATTTCAGCTAGAGACACTGGTGTTTTTCGGCAACAATTTCATTTCTTACATGCCTGAGAAACCTGAACGATGATGGTAGCATTTCTGTATGAAAGACTTGTGCTGGAAGAGGAGGTTCAAAAAACTTGTTTACTACCAAATGATTGCTAAAGGTTTTTAAGTTTTCAATTTCATCCTCATTGTTCAAATTTGTTTGAATTCTTCACTATCCTGGGGAACAGGCATGAAAGGAGTAATATAAGTCCTATTATTGTCATCATTCACGAGGTCAGAAATATCCCACTGATCATTGATGTGATCTAATATTTCTTTTGTTTCCTAACACAATGATTAGCTTGCCTGATAAAAATGTTGTCAAAAATTGAGACCCATTGCAACTCGGAAATTATGTCATTGTTTTACAAATACCTCGTGTGGCCTAATAACAAAACTGGAAAAATCTATGCATAATTGATGAAATGTGTTCGTAAAATTAGTTTAACTTAACAACAGATTAATTAGAATGATTACCACAAAATTTTATTTACATTCACTGCGGTGCATTGATCTTATGTCGTCCGCATTCATCTTGTGATGGAATAGTGGCAACAATTCTTACAAAATCATTGAATATTTAATTTTGGAAGAGAGCAAACACTATTGACAATGTGACAGAAATATGTGGTACTGACCTAATTGTTTGAAACAAAGGAAAAATTGAAGTTTATCTTTGTAACGTATGTCAATGTAACAAACAATTGAACATGATAAATGTTTAAGCAATAGTTCAAAAAGAAGGGTATGACCATCTTGTGTGTCTGCAGAATGGATTGCAAGAACATAATATTTTGAAAACATATGTGTTGTTGCTCCTGAGAAACAGAAATCCTTATAATTTAAGTTGTGAAAATGTTCAATATGTTCAATGCATGTGAGCTGAGTTATTGGGCTCTTGGCTCTACTGTTGGCTCCACATTGATTTTCTCCATTTACTGGAATGGCACTGGCATGTGATTATACTGGACTATGACTAGTACATCAGGTACAGATTTTTCAAAATATGGTTAGTTTTGGGGTAACTTTCAGTCAGTTACCCAAAACTACCTGTACCAGATTTAAATTTATTATTCTCTCCCTCCCTCCCTCTCCTCTCCTCTCTCTCTCCCTCTTCTCTCTCTCTCCCTCCCTCTTCTCTCTTTCTTTTTTCTTGCTTGAATTGAGGAAAATATGATATACGTATAATTTTCATTAAAACTTTTGAATGTCCAAAATTGTAACTTTTTTGATCGGTCATATGCGTCTTTAACCCATGTTAACATGCAACCTTTACACATTTGTTAAGTGCACTTCACAATCAATAAACAATCAATAAACGTCAAGTCAACATCAATAAACAATCATTGTTTCATCGAAAGTCAAATGAAATTAAGAAAAAAGAAGTGCAATGTTTAGAACAAATCAAACTCTAATAAAAGTAATTCGTATTACTTTTGGGGATAAGTATTGTTAATTGTAATATTAATAGTGCAATTAAGATGTGTATTAGGTAAATTAACCTCATTTTCCTGGCATTCTACCAAATTAAAAAACACCTCTGGCAATCATATTTACTGACGATCTGAAGGTGTCACCATTGGAAGTCAACGTGCCCACATCCTCATCGAAAGTAATTTCTTTAAATATTTTTAGGTTCAGGAGAATTATTTGCATCCATGTTTTCTCAAATCACAAGATACTGGTATATCACTAGCAACACTCATTTGGCATTCAACAGCATCAAATTAATTGTAAACATAATTGCAGTAATGTCTTAAATTTTTGCATAAATCGTGAGATTTATGCAAAACAGTGACTGGGTGATAAAATTCTGAACATACCACGAAACATTAGTGTTATTACTGCCTCCTCTAAATTAAAAACCTTGGTTCCGGTACGCTCCACCTTGATTTTTAACTTTTGGCCTCTGCAGCCATAACACTCGTAACATTTCTAGGTATGTTAATAGCTTTTATTATTATTATTATTATTATTATTATTATATAAACATACATACTTGTAATGAATAGTTTTTATTTTCATTACTTCCTTTGAACTTTTTAAAGTTGCAAATTTGGATCTTCTGCACTTTGTTGAAAAAACATTTTATACAAGATGTCAGAAGAATTACAGAAGGAAACAAGTTGCAATTTCCTTTATATCTAATATGCTAAGGAAAGTGGTTTTGTGCCATTCATAAGGAACCATTGACCAAAATCTATTAGTGTTCTACAGTTTAAAGAAATTAGATGTGCCAAAGCAGACTTTGTCCTCACAGAGATAAGTGCTATCCAAAAGTTGGAGCATTTTTAAAACAAAAAATTGATTATTTTTCTTGAGGCTTCATATAAAGAATCTATTAAAATTAAAATATTTATTTAAAATTCATAGAGCATCACGTGCAGGCAGATTGGTTTGAAAATTTAAAAAGAAGCAGCGGGGGCGTTTAGTAGATGCTTTTGTTGTCCACAGAAACACGTTTTTGGTATTACAAAACCTGGTTAATTAATTAACTATGTTCAGGAACAGGATTTATCCACTTTTTGGTATCTGGTATCCTCAGTATGTTTCTCTGCCAAAAAATATTGCTCCCTTAATTATCTGCTGGTTTTATCTTAAGCAATGCTCCTTAGGTTTTTCTTTTTTGTAGTGTAGTCTTTTGTGCTATTTCTAGCTAAGTATTTGTTATTTGATGAAAAGGTATATTGATTAGTTAAATTTTAATAATTTGAATTGTGATTGTTTTTTCTTTTAGTGACTCAAATTTGGATCTGAAATCATTGAAGTTTTTAACACAAATTGAAGAACTGCGTCTGAAGGGTATAGCAGTAAATGGTTTGAAACTGAAGTCACCCCTAGATGTGCTCACCAAAATGACTACTCTGAGACACCTGGTAATAACCCAATTTTGAAAAAGTTAATGTTCACCATGCTTTTGTAGCAATTTCAATGTAACATATATGGTACATTTCCTTTGTCGGTGATTTACAGGGTACGGAAGTTTTTAAATACTGATCCGATGGGCGAGATCGCTAAGGCAGTAGTGCCATAGCAATCTCGTACCGAAAGATCACGGGTTCGAGTCCCGCCTCGGGCATGGTTGTATTGTGTTCGTCCTTTCACAGGGAAGGCAACGGGAAACCACCCTGAATAATTTATCCCAAGAAAACCCGTTATGGGTCACCTAACTCCATGTATGGAAGATAGGACCAAAGAAGAAGAAGTTTTTAAAGATACAAATTCTTCTTTTCAGAAAAGAACTTTTGCAGTCTTATGATTTCAAATTGTTTTTGTCCAAATTTTGTTTTTACTCTTTCCTTCAATAAGCAATGTGTGATTAATCGCTTTCAAAAATGTATTAGTTAAAGTACATTCCATTAAAGTTTAATTATGAATTACATGTATTGAAGTGTTAATATGATCTGCTGTTCTACAAAAAATTATATTTCATGAACTTTTTTTGTGTTTCAGTCATTGACTACAATAAAGGATCTAGGCAAAGCCAACCCTGAAACTCTAAAATCTTTGACACAACTGGAGTCACTTGAATTAGGAGAATGCAATGACTTCAATGAGGCTTTTGGCTCAGAGTGTCTTCCCTGCCTCAAGAAACTGACTCGTCTTCGTTTAGAAACAGGCCAAATGAAGTGCCCCACCTTTGTTATTTTGAATGGACTACATACACTGCCTCTGTTAACTCACTTGGAACTGGTCAATTTTGACATCAAACCAGGCTTTGATAAAGCTCTTGCCCAGTGCACTAACATCAAACGGTTACTTCTCATCCCGACGTATTTGACACAGTCTGCTACTACAAACCACATGGTGCTGGGTGGGGTGACAAAACTTTCTGAAAGCCTTGTACAGTTTGTTTGGGGCGTAACACATGAGCTGCTGCATGTCACCGAACTGTTTGTGGATCAGTGTGAGGGACAGAAAGGAGGAGCCCCAAAGGGAGCACCTGTAGGCCCTGGCGGTGATGGGGGTGGGAAGAATCCATTGCAGCAACTACCCTCCGGGAAGAAGTCTGGAACGAGCGACAGTATTCCCATTCTCCGACCAGTACCTGGAAGGGATGTCTTGGGGGCTGGTAATGATGTGAAACCTGAAGAGGATGATACATCTAAACCATCACCACAGGTGGATATTCTGCCTTTATCGCAGCTGCAGAAACTTCTGGCGACAAGCCTTCCAAACACCAAGGTCAGCATTTTGAAGATCCCTTTCAATGCGACATGGAGACAAACTCTGGGAGAGACCAGCCACTGAGTTTGCAATGCCAGGCATCTGGACAAGTCTTACGGCGATGTCCCTGGTGAAAAAGGGTGCATTGGACTCCCTGTTCTGGCCCCGTTACTGAAGGCAGTATAGTTCGGAAGGTTATTCAGACTGAATTCTATGGCATCCAAAGAGAAAGGCTAAGAGATTGTGTGTGTGGGGGCATATATGTACACCTTCCCCTCTATCTGTCCATTCCAAGAACTACTCATGTTGATGGCCAATACAGGATAGTGTATTTTTTAAAATATGAATTATTCTTATGTTTAGTGAATGCATTGCATTAACTTGCAATTGCTGGAGTTACCTTTACAAAGAGCCGGATGTGCCCTTTAATGGGTTGGTTTTAACATCTGTTTTTAAAAATAGTTTGTACCTTGTGGTGTTAAACAACAGGGCGTTTTTAATGGAAGTACAAATTATGGCATAAAGAGGTTTACAAGATACTGTGCTCTTAATGAAGATGTTCATGTGCAAAGATTTCAGTGAATATTGTAGGATTGTCAGATTTGATACTATTTTTAGTTAGTAGTAAGTCATATTAAGTGCATTATGTTGAGGTATTGTGTGGAAGATCGCTGCACTGCTGGTGTAGGGTGGAATGTTTTGAATAAGCAGCAACCATTGGACCAACTAGTGTGCTTACTTGTGAAATGTGATCATTGGAAAGAATGAGTATTCTATGCAATATCTGCATAATAGTAGTAAAAGCAAGTATGTATAGAAAAATTTATATTATGGTGTAAATATAGAGTATTAAAAATATTTTGGTACTTTTATTCCCTTTGGCTTACAGAACTTGTGAATGACATGAATTTAAACAAACCTATGTATCTCTTTTTGCTGTTATTTAGAATATAACCAGAATGTAAATGTGTGTGTGTGCGTGTTTTTTTACTGGTTCTTGCATTTCTTGTAATAATGATGATGTTGTATTGACTTTTCTGATTGAATTAAGTGAATTTCTGTTAAACATGAACGGAAATTTGAAGATCAAAAAATTACATATTTACTGTTCTGGGTAATGAAGTAGTTATATATACACACACACACACACATACATATACACAGGTGTCTGGGGAGGAAACGTTTTTAAGCATATTTTGTCTAATAAATTACTGGGATATTCTGAATGGCCGCAGTAACCACTCAAAAGTTGGTTTGACAAACTTCTTTCTAGGCAAACATTTGCATTGCAAAAGTATAGAAACACTCCAAAAATCTGTAAATTGTTTTGTATTTACAAAAGAAATCAGTATATTTTATTCACTTTGAAAGAAAAATTAACACAAATAAAAAATTACACAATTTGTCTGCTTTTATTTCATGGTAAATAGTTGTTTCTGAACAAATATTTTCATTTCTTTTGTTAATAATAAGTAATTCATGTATTTCTAGGCTTTTGCAATGCAAATTTTTACCTCAAGTATTTTTTCAAACAAAACTTTGAGTGCTTATAATGGCTTAGACAATCAGAATATCCAAGTAGTTTATTAGAAAAAAATTGCTTAAAATTGTCTTAAGAGCATATTTTGGACATTTCATCTCCGGGCTACCAGTACATACACACACACTCACAATATAAGCTTTACAACAAAAATACTAAGACAACATAATTTAACTCTCGAAAGTGTTAGCCAGTAAACATTTTATTAGACTAAATTCTAGTTGTTTGTTAAATCTCTTGTATTATCAAAACTTTTAACCCTTCATCACAGATATGGTCTCTGCACACAATGTTTTTCATCTGCAAATAGGGAACGGTGTGCATGGTAGGCTTAGTATAGACTCTGCTTTGCTATGCTCTATGCTTACATTAAAATTATAATAATTTATTTGCCAATATGCAAACTAAAGTTTCTACTCAACTTCAAAATGTCCCCCTGTAGGAAGCAGGGATTGTCTAGCTTTGAAATTTCATGTCTGGAAGAACGTATTCATGATTTGTTCATTATATGGATGATTATATCCTGCAATTCATCCTAGTTTAAGATGAATTACTATAATATTTTTTTAAGTATTGAAGCTTTATGGAAATAATAAATGTTCCAAGAATTCAAATAATGATTCACACGTGTGTTGTGACAATGTACAACAATTCTCACAAAATAATCACCAGTTTGGATGAAGCTGTTGTTGAAAATCTTATCACAATAAATAAAAAAGTGGGACATTTGTAATGATTTTTAGTGAAAAATGCACATTCCATGAAGTTGGGCAAAAAATCGTAGTGCACGAGTCGGCCTAAGTGTGAGAAAAACCTCCGTGCTGAAGAGTTAAGTCAACTTTTCTCTGAACACATTCGAAAATTCATGACAGCTCTCTTGCAGTTCTTGAACCAGGCAAACTTTTCAACTGCACTTCAATTGATGTTTTAACTCTTTTCTGCATTGTTAATGCACTAGTTATTTGCTCTCTGCATTAATTTCTCTTTGCCAACTCATCTCATATTTTTATAGCCATATGATTGCTGTAGAAGAGCAATTTTCTCAGCATTTCTTGTATTAATACAGCAAAACCTCCGTCATTTCATGTTATACATGTACAAAATAATTAAATTTAAAATTTGACACTTGCAAAAATGTATTCATTGTTTACGCTTCAGCCTTGTGGTTGTGGCCTGCATCAGGATTTTGTAGGTTATCCTAATAATATTTAAAAGTCATTAGTAAAAATTGGATCTTTATGCAATTACATGTTTTCTTAACTTTCTACATCTCGTTCTCAAAACTGTAATCTTGGTGAATCGTTGCCATCCTAACACAATATCCAATTTTTAGGTACACATTTTTACATATGTAATACTATTATTTTTCTATTTTCTCTAAATATTATCAAGTTGTTCTTTGTTATACATATTTTTTTATGAAAAGTATTTTCAAAACAATCAGAATGTTTTGCTACATTATTACCGAGATGCGCTGTGTTAAGACACAGTCGGGATGTTCTTATAGTCCGGCGCACTTGATTCAGTTATCTCAGTGGCTGGAAGTGCACTTGAGTGATAGATACTTTTCACACTTATAAGTGAAAATTAGCAGACAATGGGTTTTGTGGTCTTTGGCAAACTCCAAGGTGAAACTTGAAGAGAATGCTACATGCTGCATTGATGGTTTGCTGGTTGTAGATATTGCCAGTTAATACGAGGACTTCTGTTGCGTCTAGTCTGACTACTGACTCAGTCCTGAATAGTAGTAGGAAATTTTTGATAAAAGTAATATTGTATTTTATAATTAGTGTATTTGAATATTACATATATCCAATTTTACATATTTTCTTTTGTTTCATTACATCTCTATGTACATAATTTGACGTTTCATATTATAAATTTTGTCTGGTCTCTACACAAGTACAAAACAACCTCTACATATTGTGTATAAAAATTAACTTTCTCACTGTAGATATAAAAAGTAAGCTCAGCTGTTCATAGTGAAAAGTAGTTCATTTAATAAGCTTTCCTGGACGGTCATGCTGCTTGTATCCCTACATCAAAAACTTCAAAATGCAACAGTCTGTTGCTCACTTAGACACAGTGACACCTCAAGATTATTTGTAATGTGGGTAGTGTATTAGTAATGTTATTTTCAAATGACCCACTTGTGACAGCTCAGCTGATACTATGCTTGCTTTTTATTCTACACCTACAGTAAGTAAGCTATATGTGTTATGTACATTATGTTGAAGTTGTTTTATACTTGTGTGTCTTTTAGTGTATGAGGACAGTCTTCATAAAGGTCACAACCACATGGCCGAAACGTAGGCAATAATTCATTTTTGCGTTATCAAGTTTAAAGTCTAGCAGTGAAATTTAAGATTCATGTCCTTGTTGAGAATGCTTCAAAATTCATGTTGTGAATTCACAGTAGGAATAATAATTCTCAACTGAATGTTACTTAATAACTAGTATGTTAGAGACACTTACACTTCATATTTGTTTGATTACCAAACAAACTGAACTCTAAATTTTAGGCCAAATTCATAAAAAATGTATATGTGCTAGGAAGGATAAGGTTCATAGGATCATTGAGGAAATAATTATGAAGAAAGAATCTGTTTAATTTTTTATGTTATTCTATTTTGTATCTGTCTCGAGACAATTATAATAGAACATTTGACCTATAGAGAAAGTCTTTCACTTAAATAAATATTACAAATTAATATTTAACAAGTTTCTAGTGGGTGGATCCAGAAAGAATGTGGGGCAGGGAAGGTAATTTCAGTTCTGATCCCTTCCCCAACTTTTTTTGAAATATTAAATATATGTGTATATATATAATATAATATAACTGTGTAGAAAGAAACACATACTTACACAGTATTTGGGCACAAGTTGTTTTTTCATCAACCTGGCAACGTTCAAAGTACTTTGCGTACACTGCCAATAATGTTATTAGTGCTATTCACTACACTACATTGAACTGTTAACCATGTTCATGTGATTAACAATGAAATTTGCATATCATGCGGAAAATTGTTGAATTGAGGCCTCAAATAAAACAGTGTGCATCATAAAGTAAAAGTTCTTTTCTATGACGCAATGGAATTCCTGGCCTTGGGCAAACTCCTATCTCATCGTGGAAACTTCCCCTTTCTTGTCTTGTAATGTAAATTTTTATCATTAATCAGTCAGCTTGTTAGTGGATAGATGGAAGTATCATTCGCCGCTTCTCTGGTGTTTTACAAGTATTCAGGAGCGGATAGGATGTGACTACGGAAGCTTTCAGAAAAAACGCATTTGAAACAGCAAAAGTTTGTCAGTTAATACGGACGAGTATTTCACGTCTGTAACAGTGCACAAAATATTAATTCAAGGCGTTGATGTCATTCGTGAAATGATATTCCCAATAGGACAACTGTCCGAAGACTCGCAGGAAGCCCAACACAAAGACTTGAAGTCATGTCGAGAAAGAAATATTCGAAAATCATCTAGAGTATGTAGCAAATGATCTGCTTCATTTCCTATTGATTTTTTCTGACTCGGTAATAACAAGCATCCGGCCACTAACAACTAAGAAAACTGTTTTGAAGTAGTGCATGTTCCTGGAGGTGATGTGCTACGTGAAGGTTGGGTAGCAAATTCAGAGAGCAATTCATGTCTATTATTGTAATTTTTCTTCGTTATTACTCTTTACAATTTGCACTGTTAGGTATGAATTAGAATCAGAATATTTCATTTTGAGTTGGTGTCTCATGAACCTTTAGTAGGAGTAAGCAATTGCACGTAGTATCTCTTAAGTTGTTCCAACATTGATAACCTGGTAATTCTTATCAAGACTCGACGGCAATGAATTTGTTATTATATTTCGTTCCCACATTACAATATAATGTAAAAGAGCACAAGGAATAATTCTGACCATTTTCAACACCGTCCGCTTTACCGTTGTTTTAATAACATTTTATTACCGCTAGATGAAGGAAATCGACCACTGTGCGGCCAGTCCCGGGCCGGGACTCCCGGCAGAAGAGGCGTAATTCGCGAGACCATGCAGTTGGTTTATGATTTCGTCTCCTTACATCTCAATATATTTTCCCCCCACATATCAAACTAGTGATGCTGTAACAAAAGCAAATAGTCTCGTATCATGTGTAATAGTAGTATAAAAACTATTTATATAGTTCACATATTTGTCTTTCTTTGAATACCGTCATAAAATTGTTTGAGGAAATACTCAAAATTTCGATTCCGATTTTGAACTGATTTTAAAAAGAAAATTGAACCAATTGTGTAAATATCACCAATATTCCATCGCCTCACATCTTATTTTACCTCTTAAGATCTTCCGATGTCATTCCACTACCGGAAAGAATGAACATATATTACACACGATCTCTTTTATCCTACGACTCGATTTTTGATCCCAAAACGATATTTGTCTTCTTGATAGAATTCACTTCGGGATTCTCCTTTCCTAAGTAAAATAGCTGAATCTAATTTTAAAAATGTTTCCATACTTTCGGACATTTGAAAAAAGTGGTAAAATTGCGCGTTGTCGTAGTCAAATGTCATAAATTGCGCGCTGTCATAAATCAAATTATTACTCCTTATTTCATCATTTACCTACACGACCAGACAACAAAAAAACTGGAAATTTCATACAAATGACGCATTTTGATATAATTTAATTTCACAATAAATTACACGAAACACATCAATAGATATTAAATTTTGCAGTCTGATTGTTATTGGGGTAGGTATACATCAATAATACCTGTATTACTGTGAAATAAAACAAGTTTACATATAAATATATGTAATAAATATAAGTAAAGCCGGCTGTCCCATGTTCGTAGATTTACATGCATGTAAAAGATCCTCAAGCCTAAATGACGCCTCTGAGCTAAATTCAAATCCCCGTTTTCTCGCCCAAGATATGCCTCTTTTCACCGCTAGTTGGTGAAAGGAGCGTAGCGAAATTTGCGTGGTCAGACGGAAGAGCAGGCCTAATGGCCTGAGTCTCGCCACGTAAAATAAGGCATTCAATTCAAAAAATAAATAAATATATATATACATATACATATATACGTACACACACACACACATATACTACTAACAGCATGTACCTAGAAATAAAATTAGAATTTAACATTGAAATATTTATTTATTAAAGTAAAATGTGTAAACTATAACTTAATTCACAATAAATAGAATATATTGACATAAACTATATTGCAAACAAATGATGATGCAACATAGATGTATACACTAAATCATTAATGTGATTGGGTGGATTGAACATGTAAGGAGACTACGCACATGCTTAGGGACACCAGTTATTACTTAAAGCTACTTTAAAATTGATTCATAAATGCATACAATTAGTAAATTTTATTACTGATCCCAATAAATACAAATTTAATTATTTTTTATGCATAAAAACACCAAGATTTTCTTAAATTATGGCTACAAATTTAGATGAAAATTATTTTTAAATTCCCTTTTTTGTTTATTTCTTTTAATTGGTTTTCATTTTTATTGGATGAGTTAAATAAGTTTTCTTACCAAATTAACAGCCTTTTCTAAAATGATTTTAAATTTGGACATTCTCCAGGTAACAGTTTATTTTTTAAATACAGACTATTCTGGATCGTTTTTCTTGACATGGAATAGGCATTTGGAATTCACAATATCCATGATTATCTGCATCAATAAACCAATTTCCATCATCCGTGCCAAAAACAACCTGAAAAATAATATATTTGGTTCAAATATTTACAGAACATGGCAGGCTTTAGCCTCAATTTAAAACAGAGGTATGAGAATACTGCAATAATCAATTCTACAATTTTTAACTGCCACCAATGACATTTCAAACCTAATTTTAAATATATTTCAATAAATTAGAGAATATTGTAAAACTACCTATTTGCAATCAAATAATCTTAACAACATTGGAATTTGAATTAATATTATTTTAGCCAATGATATAAAACGAAATCATTGATTATCTTGTTCGACATAAGCTTATAAGGGAATTTTAAAATTAATTTACATTACCTTACGCTGCTTTGGAAGCCAATTGCAACATTGCACATAACCTAATATACAATTATTATTACAACGCATGATACAAATTCATTCTTGCTGCAATCCTGGTATCATTTAATTCACGTTCTTTTGAAATCACTAGCAGTGTCTTGTTCACAAAAGTAAATACGAAATGAATTATCACTTAATTCGAATACCCCTTTCACTCCCACTTTCACTTCGAATACATAACAGCCTATTAAAGAAATTACCACCAGATTCCAATTCACACCAAATCGCTGTGAAAAGTCACTGCAAAAACTGAGCGAGCACTGCCGACTCAGGACAGGTTCACTTAATGTTAAGGCTAAATGTTCCGACACTAGTACAATTTGTAGCCACCACGTGGCAGCATCAAAATAAATAAAATTTACTGATAACGTCTGAACCAATGGTCCAATTTTCGACCTGTAAACGGCATTTGACGCCTTTTTAAAATTGAATTTACGCTACGAAGCCCTTTTCCAAAAATCTAGCAAAACTCAAAAAGTTCTCGAACTTCCGAGAAAAAATGTGGGCCTAAAGCGCGATGGCGACATGCTTCCCGAATGCAACGCGGTGACAATCATGCAAATCGGACGAATAGGAGCGTCGTAAAGTGAAATTTAGGAAAACACCTGCCCCCCCCCCCACCTTCCCCTTCTGCCCTTGCGTCAACCACCAGCCGAATTTCGTCGTGGGCCCTCTATCGGCGCGGCGGCACGGCCTGCCCGTGGGATGACGCGGGTCAGTCTGGCGCAGCGGTCGAGGGAATACCGCCCCCGCCACCTCCGCCCCGTGATGGCTGACACGGCCATCAACAATAATAAAAATACCAATTCTTATTCAGCAGCTCCAGCTCGCCTCACGCTCGCCTTTGGAACTGCAACGGTATCGTAAGCAGGAACAAACAGGCGGAGCTAGCCGCATTCGCCGCAAAGCATCATTTAGCAATTTTGATGCTAGGCGAAACACACTTGCAGCCTAAGCATCGTTTCTCTCTCCCTGGCTACGTTTGTTACAGGTCATACAGATCAGCACGGCTCCCGAATGCAAACCCGGGCGGCCGAACGGCAGTTCTAGTGCGGCGCGACATCGCGCATCACGAATTAGCTTTGCCGACGTTTCAGTACATCGAGGCCACGGCGGTTGCGGTCCGGATGAAAAAGGGCCCGCTGCGCATCATCTCGGCCTACCTCCCACCGGCGAAAAGTGCGTCTCTAGAACAGAGCGATCTCGACGCTCTTCTAGCGGGTGATTTCAACGCGAAACACCCGTCTTGGAATTCCCGCATCATCTCGCCTCGTGGCCGACAGCTGAAAGACTACGCAGAAACGCACGGCTACGAGGTGATAGGCCCGATGCAACCAACGCACTTCCCTGTCAACGCAGGACGACCGGACGTTTTGGACATCGTCATCATCCGCGATCTTGGCACCCCTATACACCTCACCACAGCTTGTGAGCTCTCCTCTAATCACCTCCCAGTCATTGCCGAAATAGGGCGCAGCGACCTGCAAACTTCTCTCGCGCTTCCACCCGCCCGCAAACGCACTAATTGTCCTCTGTTTCAGAAAGAGCTGGAGAAACGCCTCCCGGAAGCAGAGCCCATCTCAGACCCGCAGCAGATAGAGCCAGGAGCAAAGCAGCTTGCGGAGGCAATCGCAGATAGCCTGAGTGCGGCCGCCTTCGCCGGGCGAAACGAGCAGCGAGCCGCGGAGTTCCTCCCGCGAATAATCGCGCTGATCCAGCGCAAAAACATGGCGCGACTGGAATGGCAGCGCACGCGACACCCGGCTGACAAGCTTGCTCTGAATCAGTTAAGGCGGCGTGTAGACGACGCCTTAACTGAATACAGAAACTCGAAGTGGGGAAACCTACTGAAAAAGCTAAAGTCGGAGGATAGCTCACTACAGCAATTAACGCGAGCCTTAAAAAAAATCTTCTGTTTCAGTCCCGCCGCTGCGCAACGCGAACGGCGACAACGTGGAGGCGAACGAGGAGAAAGTGGAGCTTTTCGCTGACTCCCTCGAATCGCAATTCCAGCCGGTAGAGGAGCAGCCGCCTGCGGAGCACGCAGAACGCGTGCATTGCACGGTCGCAGCGGCCCTGCACGCCCCCGCCGACGAGCCGGAGCTAACGGACGTCGCCGAAGTAACCGACGCCATCGCAGCCTTACGGAGCGGAAAAGACCCCGGACCAGACGGGATAAGAAACGAAGTTCTCAAAAGGCTCCCGCAAAGTGCCGTAAACTACATTGTGTGCTTGTTTAACGCAATTTTCATCTTTCAGCTATTTCCGGCGCAATGGAAACACGCGCACGTGCTAAACTTTCCCAAACCCGGAAAGAATAAGAGCTTGACTCAGTCGTACAGACCAATCAGTCTTCTAAACACGCTCGGCAAACTCTTTGAGAAAATTCTCCTTAAGAGAATTTTAAAATTTACAGAAAAGCACGGCCTAATTAATAATGAGCAATTTGGTTTTAGGACGCACCACCTACCAGCTAGTGCGCATAGTTGACAGAATTCGGCGCAACACGAGCGCGATTCACTGGCGGAGTCTTCCTGGACGTCGCCAGCGCCTTTGATAAGGTGTGGCACGACGCCTCCTCGCCAAACTCATCGAAGCCAACTTCCCCTCCTATATTGTACGCCTAGTACACTCCTTCCTCGCGAACAGATCGTTCCAAGTGACGGTTCTGCACGCAAAATCTACCACCCACCGCATACGGGCGGGCGTGCCTCACGGGAGCATCATCTCCCCTGTGCTCTACTGCATGTACGTGCGCGATATGCCTACCTCGATCCAAACCGAGCTCGCCATGTATGCAGACGACACGGCAGTAATTGCCACGTCCAAAAGAATCCTCTCACTCGTTAAATATTTGGATGAACGTTTGTTACAGATCCAGGAGTGGCTGCAGCGCTGGCGTATCAAAGTCAACGTGGCAAAGAGCACGGCAGTGCTCTTCACACGCAGATACAAATGCGACCAGCCGCGGCCGCTCGCGCTATGAAATTCAAACATTGAATGGCGCGCCAGCACAATGTACCTCGGCATCACGCTCGATCGCGCTTTAACTTTCCGCGAACACGCGAACGCGGTCTCTAGCAAAGCCTGGCAACGCCTGGGCATGTTGCGAAGCTTATTACATAAGCAAAGCAAACTGTCCACAGCGAATGCTCTGCTTATATATAAAGCCATGATAAGGCCCATTATGGACTACGCCTGCCCAAGTTGGGGAATAGCGGCGCATGCACACTTAAACAAGTTGCAAGTAGTTCAAAATGCGTGCCTTCGTAGAATACTATGCGCGCCAATGTATATTAGAATCGCAGATTTACACGCTGCATTAAAACTACCGCTCCTCGAAGAGCACTTTAAAAACTTAGCTAAAAATTTATTTTCAAAAATAAATGCGTCAAATAATGATATTATAATAAATTTTTCTTTGTACGAGCCGGATCCCACGGCCACGTACAAGCGCCCGAGAGATATGCTACAATAGGCGAGGCGCCAATACTTGCATGAAAATTGCGGTAAACAACGCCAAAAGCGCGCCGAACGGCTATTGTCTTTCATGACAATGTTCTTTTTCTCATTTTACAGATCAATCGTAGATGTACGAAAGGATAGGGATGGCTACAGATCAGGGAAGTGTGGCGGCATTGCACTACTGCGGCCACACAACTTGCGCTGCAAAGCACGGGGCGCACTGCCTGCCCAGACGGCGTACGGCCAGCCCCGGCGGAGCAAGTTGGACTTGCGAGATAGGCAAGCCCGACAGTCGGATTATGCTTTCGTCACATCTATTTTTCCACAGATATCAAACTAGAGATGCTATACTACTATTACAGACCGAGACAAACGGTCTGTAATAGTAGTACATAACTACAGGAATTGTGGTGAGTTTTCGTTGGCATTTGAATATGCGAATGAAATAATTATATGCGACATCATTGCCAACAATATTATTTATTAAAAAAGCAGCTATGATGGGGTTTATGATGGCTAAGTCATCGAAAGCTGTTTTTTTAATATCGAATACCATCTTAAAATTGCTTGTGGCATTACTCAAAATATCGATTCCGGCATGGAACTGGATTTTAAAAAAAATTAACTAATTCTGTAAATATCACCATTATTCCATCTCCTCACATATTATTTTATATATATTTTACTTTAGAGGTCTTCCGTCTTGCTCTAAGATCTTCCGGATTCAAATACCGGAAAGAATGAGCGGAGTATATGCACGAGCTTTTTTTATCTTACAACTCGATTTTTGATCTCAAAACGACGTTTACCTGCTTTAAAGAGTTAATCTGGTGAATCTCTAAATAATATACAATTTAATAACAAATACATTTATTATTTACAAAAAGATATATATATATATATATATATATATATATATATATATATATATATATATATATATATACACATATATCCCCATCTCCCAAAAAATAATCGGCTGGATCCGCTCCTGCTGTGACACCTCTCCTTACTCCGTAAGCGGAAGGCAATAACACAGACCCTCGTTTGTCATCGGAAGCGACCGCAGATCCTGCACAGATCTGGCGTCTCCCACGGCAATGCATCGGGGAGAGAGGCGAAACGATGAGGGGGAGACGTGAATTTTCATGACGCGAGCTACAATTACTGGTAACATTGGGGAAAGTTTTATCTCGTAAACTATAAGTAAATTATAATTTTAAATTTATTGGTACTTTTTATGCTTGTAGCCGCAGTTATCTACAGTGTAATTATTATTATTATTATTATTATTATTATTATTATTATTATTCCACATTTATTCACAAGCACCGAAATCAAGGTGAGTCGGAGTTGCTAGGACAGACATGCAATACTTTCGCAATCTCTGTGTGCAACAGGCAGATACAAGAGAGAGAACTCAAAGCTTTTGTGACTGACCAACGAAATTCTAAAAGTTTGTGCATCTTATGTTTTAACATGAAACATTCACTGAACATGGGACTCATTGCACTGAAGAGTTCTGCAGTTTTCAAATTATGTTTTTGATGGATCACTCACCGTCTCTTGTTTTCCATTTTCTAAGTCATGAGATTAGAAGGCAACAATCTCCTTTTCCTCTTTCGACATGACGGCAGAGATTTTTTTGTTGGTGGTGTTGTAATGATTTTATGTTTAAATTTTGTTGGTGGTGTTGTAATGATTTTATGTTTAAATTTTGTTGGTGATTCTGATGCGGAAGCAACGTTAGAACTGTGATTTCCGCAGTAACTATTGGAGGATCTAAA